TATATATATATATTTGTGTGTGTGTGTGTAAGTGTCGCATTCTCAGATTAGTTGGTCAGACATCTGCTTGTCAGTTGTAATTCCCCTCTGGTCCGGGGTTCGATTCCTCTCGGTAGAGGGTTTTGTACTCGAATTGTTAGGCGCATTGAAGATGGTCATGGCTCATATAATAGCCTCAGGCCCATGATTTCTTCGTCAAATCTGCAGATCTGCCACTCCTAGTAGATTTAGTAAATATTTGATTTTTAGTCCAAAATAAGGCAAAATGAGATTTAAGAATCTAGAAATTATATACATAACCGATTGGCAGAATATATTATAAATCCTACAAAAATATCACATAAACAGACCTTTAAAGCTTGACGGACATTCCTCGGGTCTTTGTTAAGGAAATATTATTTGGTCGCTTGCGCATCTTGCATGTTATTGCAAGGTCCTGACTAATATGGATAGAAAAATGTGGAAAAAAATAGTTGGAATAGCTTTTGTAAAGAATATGATTTATTTTTGTGTTTAATTTTTCGGGCATTTATATAAATAACACCTAATTTTTGTGTAGCACATCTAGCACTTTTCATACATACATCCTAAATTTTAACATCAAATTCAAAATACCACTAATATTATCTTTAATAAAAAGAAATACGCATTTTCATGCTATTATTTTTATGTGAATGTGAAACAAAAAAAATTAATATAAAAATTTAAAAAAAATCTATATATATATGCACCGCATACTCAGATCAGTTGGACGGACATATGCTTGTCAGTTGTAAGTCTCCTTTAGTCTGTTGTTCGATTCCCCCTGGTTGGAGGTGTGGTACTTGAATTGATAGGCGCATCGGGAATGTCCGGGGCTCGTATAATAGCCTGAGTCTATATATATATTATACTTTTCGCCGACTAAGATAAAGAATATGCATTAGGGAGGCTTGGCAGATTTAACTGATTAATTTGAGCTTTTGAACACTTGCATGAGCTTACTAGTGCTACTACCTCTTGCAGAGTAACAGAATTAACACCAACTATTTACAATGGACTCGCCTTTCATTACCAATAATCTATCATAAAAAAAGAATATATAAATAAATTTTTTTTTATTATGCATTAGGAATCATATAATCAACATAACTACCCTTTCATATATTTTCTTAAGATTGTGCAACTTCAATTAAATCATATAATTATCCAAACACCCCCCAAATTTCCTAAAAAAAAAACTTAATTGTATATTTTAACATATTTAAAATCAAACACCCAATAAAAAATCATTAAATAGAACAGAAGTATAAGAAAAAGAGAGCTGAGAAAAGGAAAATAACCTGAAGAACTCGTAGTCCAGATGCAAACTTTCTGAAGATTTCACAATTGCAATAAACTAAAATTGGACAAATCAAATGAGCAACATGTACAGAGCCCAAAAGGTATTTTCCATAATGAAAGGTTGAAGTTATATATAAAAAAAAAAGTATAACAGATGAAGAATTATGACAGAATAGGAGATCGCTTGGCGAGGTAGCGAAGGAGATTCATGAAATGTTAGAACCAATGGCAAAACAGATGCTTCGAGATCTGATAGTTTCCACTTAGCTCGAGCAACTCCAATTCATAATTATATACAAAACAAAGCCCAACTTGTATGTGTAGTAGAGAATAAAAAAGATGGCCAGCCGCTGAAAACACAAAATCACACTGAAAATGTCTTGTTAAAACAATAATAATAATAATAATAATAATCATAATACTAATATAAATAATAATAATAATAATAACAATAAAAGGCGTTTACACGCATACCACACAATTCTTATATACTCGACAAATATAATTCCTAAACTAACATCTTCATATTTACAACACACTCAAATCTTCTATCACATATAAAAATGCCACTATTACTAATCTTTAAAAAGTGGTATCTTTTTAAGCATAGGTGAAGTGTTATATATATAATATATATATATATGTCAAAGTTTAGATTGTAGGTATGTAAATACGTAGGAATTGTGGTATGTATGTAAATCTTTCATTGATGTAAAAACTGAGCTTGGAGGATTATGTATTGCAGGCTTGATCAGATAAAAGTTACATGATTAGTTTAACCATTTTCCCAATCCATGTAATATTTGTCAATTTATTAATATTATTTATAAGGCTATGTTTTCTTCATCATTCATATTTATCATTATACTTTTTATAGTTATAGGACAGGCTTTTAACACCCTAATTTACGATCGTCATTATCTCTACTGTCATTGTTCCACTCTTCACAAATTAGAATAAGAGCAGAAGTTCTTGTATCCAAAGAGTGCTGCATTAAACCAAAAAAAAAAGTGTTTTGCTTTCAAGGTTTCAAGAGACATCACCTTCTCTTCTCTTTACTCTCTTTATTCGTGCACTCCATATGCTCTTGACACATTTTCTCAAACTTTCCAACAACCTTTGTCAACACATCCAAACTTAAATTGTACAAATATAAAACTTTTTTTTGTTGTTGTATTAATCATTTCATTAATTTTTATACTCATCATTATAGTTATACCATGAGTTTTCTTCCTCAAACTTTAATAGTCACAACCACTAAACCACTGCTCCTTCATTATAACTAGTAACTTCCAAAAAAAAATTTTTATGACATCAACTTCTCTTCTCTATACTCTCTTTGTTCGTGCACTCCATATGCTCTTGGCACATTTTCTCAAACTTTCCAACAACCTTTGTCAATACATCTGAGCTAAATCGTGAAATTGTACATATATAAGTTTTCTTTTTTTTTTTGGAATTAATCATTTCACTAATTTTCATATTCATCAATATAGATACACACACAGATTTCTTCCTCTAACTTTAATAGTTCCAACCACTAGAGCACCACTCCTTCGTTATAACTTATAACAAACTTAAAAAAATTGTAAGAAAAAAATCATTCAAAATATAGAAAACAAATATAATAATAATAAATGAGTTTTTGATATTAAAATTCTGAAAATAATGTTAAAAATTTGAGTAGGGAAAATTCAATTCATATTCGGAGTCCAAGCTTCAAATCAAACGTTAAAATTGGTTGCTAGTATCCTGCCACTTCTTGGCTTCTTGCACAATATCCTGCACAATTATCTCTACAACATGCTTCATAAAATCCTTGATAATTTCTCCACTAAAATCTCCAAACTTCTTAATTATCTTCCATTAGAATTCCATTACTAATCTTTTTAGCCCAGCCTCCCTCCCCTTAGGGCGTTTATTCACTCTTATTCTCAATCTCTCCTTTCTCTTTACCTGCCTGAATCTATCTTTATACTAGATTCTTTTCTTTTAAAGGTGTCAGAAGTCTAACACGATCATTGCTTTTGGTATCATGCACTTCATTAAGATGTCAAATATAAATACATTTTAATCCTTCCACCATGGTTAGGTTTACATCCTCTGGTTTAGTTAAAGCAATTGGATTAAGCCTGTTGTTATTTCTATTACTGGAGTTTGCATTCCTGTGGAATAACTAAAATTTAACTTTTAAATGATATTAAAGTGTTGTTTGATGCGGCCCCTTTCTAATGGAAAGGTATTAATTCCAACTTGTTGTCTAGTTCCTGTAGTTGAAGGCCATCAATCAAGCTTATATAACCCATGTGGCTCTGATTTTAGAATAGTATGGTTCCCGAAGCTTAAGACTACCTAGCTGGTTCTAGCAACCAATGTGACGCCATTAATGGACAATTTTCACTAATGTTCTTGTATATCTGCTTGCGTATTGCGTGATTGCTGGTGGGAGATTAAAGGTTGTTCCTGTACCTGTGCATGTATTGTGTGAGATTTCTAATAGGATTCATCCAAGACTTGCAGCTGACTCGTGCTTATTTAAGCCAATTCGAAATACCACTCAGCCCATTGCAAAGACAATCACGATTTGTTCTACATAATTTTTAGTATACACGAGTGCAAGAGGCAAGTGAGTTCATAAGTGGCAAGGTGAAAAAAACAGATGGATAACATTAGAAAATTTAGTAAATTGCAAATAAATAGACATATTTAACGTATGGAAGTTCCCTTCTTTTTTTCTTTGAAGTTGTTTTTTGGGCCTTTTAGAAATTGTTTCATTTTTCATTTTGCTAATCTTAATTGCCTTTTAGTCATGGAGAATGACATGAACAGTCTAAAATTATGGTATACAAACAAGCAAGATTCATCAATCATCAAACAATTGCTCTGAACTAAAGATAGCGCTGGCTGCTTTTATCAACTCATTTATCTAACAATATTAACAAAATTTTAATCATGAAGCAGCCAAAAAAGATTGATAAATGTTAATGAACGAAAAAAATGTCAACATAGTCCCTTGACTATTTACAATTGGTCATTTTAATCCGTGTCAATAAAATACCAAATTAGTCTCCATACTCTTCTAATATGGAAATAGTTCCAAGAGAACTATTTTAGCCCCCAATAAAAGAATTTTGAACTAAATGGACAATTTTATAGAGTGACAAAAATGATCCCCAACAAAAATTAGAGGACCATTTTGACACTTTTCTCGTTCATGAATAGTTTAAAATTGACATGATGTCTAAATAAGATAAATAGAGGGTACCAAATTGGCAACTCATACGTGAAGTTTTATCTATGTAAACAAATTTGACATTTGACTAAAACAAAAGGAACAGACAGCATCTGTGCTTTCCAGCAAGGTTGAACACAAATGAGCAAATTCTACAGAATGTTAACTGCAGAATTCACTGCATGAATTGAGCAAATAGAATGACATATGGTAAGAGTTCTCAGATGGCAATTTACCTTTCAGATCTTAACAGGGGTCCGCACAAAATTAAGATGGGCCAAATAATTGCTCTCAGCGAAGTCATGGAATGTACGAGCAGCCCTAGTACAGTCACGGCGGGCCGTCAAAATATCCTGCCCCAGCACCGTCCAGGATGGACTATCACCCTAAAAGAAAAATCAGATAACTATCATATATAAAAAATTGCTACCATGCATTTCAGTGCTGTAAATTTTAGCTTTTGAACAAGACTTTAATTTAATTACCTTGAATCTATTATATATATATATATATATATATATATGGAATGAGGATATAGAGATGTTCAAGACTACAAATTGAAAAATAGGGGGTTAAAATGACAATGTTTTAGAGGATAAGAAGTGTTGAATCCAGTGCATGAGTAAAGTTATCGGTGAAGTTGAGTGGGTTAAGATTAAATAAGTCCATCAGCCCAACCCTCCAAATGCTCGAATGAGTTGGTTTCAATAGGTAGGGGCCTAAATGGAAAAATCATTATGGGTTGAGGGCTAGCCAAAAGACTAATTTATCTTTTACAGGACTCAATGTAACCCACATAAGTTATCATCAAGCTACTCATAATTAAACTAAAAGAATTGAGGCATGGCCTGGACCCATCTTATAAAAATTTAAAACAACTGCCAGATTAATCCAATATTCTTATATTATGAATTACATTATATGAATAAAATTAATTTTGAATTTGATTGGATTAAGTTTTCAATGAGACATCATAAATTCAAAAATAATTCAGATAATTTTCATGCACGATAATCATTCTTTACACTTGATCAATATATTGAGTTGAAGTAGATTAGACTAAAATAATTGAGAGTGTTTTCCATTACTATTTATCAGAAGAATCATATTACATTATAAGTGGCCTAAATGGGCTTTAAAAGCTGACCATTAAAGGTCCATCATACATGTGGGCTAACCCATGCCAAAATGAGTTTTGGAGGACCTACATAGAAGGCTTGAACAACTAATATAACATCTTATGCATGAGCCTCCTGTCAAAAAGGATCGGAGAGCGTTTGCGTGCACAATCTTCCCCGTACAAGATAGGTTTCTTACACTAATGCATATTGAGGATAAGATAGTTAAAAATAAATTTATATGATTTGGACAAGTGCTAGAAGGGTAAATATGCATTAGCAAAGCTAGTGATAAAAAAAAAAATAATTTAGAACGAATAAAAGAAAAATGGATTAAAAAATTGGCATAACCCAAACGCTATGCAACAGATGTATAAATAAAGTAATGTGGTTTCAAAAAACTGACCCTAAGGGTCTGTTTGGGGCAGCTGCAGCTTATCCTGATAATTTGGTGATAAGCAGCTGATCCAGATAAGCTGTCTATATATTTGGTTTGTGCGTCTAGAGAATAGTTAATTCTGGAAAAATGACCAATCTGTCACTGTTCTAGATAAACTGCAGTTGTTTGGTTTGTGCGTTTTGTAACAGCTTATTTGTAGATTTTCTTTATTAAATAGAGAAATTAGAATTAAAATCCCCATAAACCATTATTTGTGCATTCGGGAGTCAACTCAAAAACAAATCATATACAAATTTCTTATCTAGCTTAGTGAGTGGGTTTTATGAATTTGAAGTTTCTGGCAGAACTATAACTTTCATATATAAATCTACGATCTTATGAATTTTATAGGGTGGAAGAAAAAATGGAATAAGAAAGACTAATCATAAAAAACTAAAAGTGCACGAAATTGAATAGCATAAATCATCAGCTTTCCTTTTTAAGTTTAATGTGCTCGTATTAAAAAGCTTTGAACGAACAAAAAGAGAGCTAGAAACAACCCCTCATCCTTCATGCGAAAAATACAAAATAAAAATTGCTGGCAGAACAAGCTTACCCGAAGGTTGTAATCTGGGCCAGAAAGAATGGGTACTGCTTCACGGGAACGAGAGCAAGTTTATAGAGAACTCGATTCTCCACAACAAGAAACACCGCAACAGTTGCGGCGACAGCCATACCAGCCTGGGCGATGCCGGAATTTAGCTTCGCCTCCTTCGAAGCGAAAACGGGTAGACACGAGCGAGGCCTCATCAAATTAACCGATACATTTGTTGCGGAAGGATGAGAAAAATGGGAGTTTCGGTGGTCTCTGTAACAAGCGATACCTTAGTTGTGATTTTCTTCATCACAGGAGAGAAGGGATCGCGAGAGATCCGTGCGAGAGGAGGCAGGGGATCGAGCGATTCGTGCGAAAGGAGATGAGGGCGGAGTTGTCTTTCGCTCAAACGAAATGCGGATCACGGGGTCCTACCCGCGATCCGCGTCTAATCTAAAACTGAGAACGCCTTATTTAAAAACGCCTCCTAAACGTTTTTTTTCAAACAGCAGGTGACGTTTTCAAAACGCCACCGCTGTGAATAAGCTCCCCCAAATGCACCCTAAGTTGTTGGGATATGACAAATGATATGAAGATGATATGATAGCCAACATAAGTTTCACCTCTAAACTAGCTACCACCAGAATCAGTTGCTTACTTTTCTAACCTATTCAAACCTCTAACTTTCTAACAAAGCTAAAAATTTTATAGATCATGTTATATCAAATACTCATGTTTGGTTAACATTTATTCAAGATAGATTCCTAATAAAATAGCCAAATGCCTACACCACTAATTCTAATTTATCAAGAATTTAAGATCGAACTAGATGGAAACTTAAGCTAATAGTTTAATACAATGCAAAGAAAAAATAGAATGGCCAGAAATTCAACGTAGAAACCAACCAGCTATAGCAAAAAGGAAGCTACTTGATGTAGAGTTCAGATTGTCCTAATCTATAGTGCAAAAAAATATTGTTTTCATACCTGCAAAAAGTCTAACATTTGCTCTTCAATTGTACCACGCATTGCAAGTGTTTCTACATGAATAGGACGAGTAGCCCCCATTCGATGAGCACGACTAATGACCTGTTCCTCCATGCTGGCAGAAGCACGAAAATGAAAAAAGGTCAATTATTTGGATAAGAAAGAATTTTATCAAAATCTTTCAGTTGAGTTAGCTACCAAACTTGAGACAAAAACGCATGCATGCAAATTTACAAAAAAAATGCTCGGATTAGTAGCAATGGAATTACCAAACAAATGATCTCTTCACTTCTTAAAGAATAATTATAGACTAAATTTAAAATTTTAAAGAAATGTAACAATTCTATGCCCATAGAAAAAGAAAGAAATTCAGATAGCAAATTCAAGGAAAATAGTTAAACACATTTGGGCTTCATTATATATATATATATATATATATATCTATATGTACAAACCCCACCTTCTATCCCATATGGGCTCCATCAAGAATACATGTGTAACAAAGCTCAAATCAAGGCCTAATGCAGCACTCCCATCCATTAGAAGAACCGTGCAGTTCGCATCATACTGAAACATCTTCAAAGATTTCATCTGCACAAACATGTAGGAACATCTTACATTCCAAAGATGGTTGATGGTTATTAAGTTAATAGTTGAATACCTTATTGAAGGAATGAAGAGGACTGTACATTTTACCATATATGATGCCAGCAATGGTTAACTGATAAGAGAAAATAAGCAAAAATACTATTATGACAACGGTTTACACAATCTGGTACATCTTAAAGTAAGTGACTCACAGTAACTTACCTGTTGCTCAATAACATGTATATGCTCAAGGAATTGAGAAAACACAATAACTTTCAAAGGTAATGCTTTATGGGAATCACAGTTTCGCCTTGTAATCTCCTGGTGGGTTGATACCTCTGAATGGGTATTGGGAGGGCTAGCAAGAGTTTCATTATTGTAAATCCTATCTACACAGCAGTGCATTTGCAAGTTAGAATCCAGTAAATCCTTCAACTTATTAATCAAGTACGCAACCTTGCTGCTAGAAGTTGATTCCCAATCAGGATCCCAATCATCCTGCAAAAAGATAACAAATAGAATGATTCTTTGCGGAGAATGAAGACAAATCAATGTGTTATATACCTGCTTGTATGAAGGTTGCAGCTCAATAAGATCTTTAGGAACAGGCCACTTGGGATTTGGATTTTCTGGACGTTTTAATACCTCAGGAGACTGCATTTCATAGCGGTAGTTACAACCAGGATAAGTACATTGTTCACTGTCTAGAGCAACACAATCAAGGCATAAAAGATGCCTACATGGAGTAATAATAGGCAAACGGCACCAATCCTTGCACCTAAAGTAGTTCATATATGCCGTATCAGACTGCAGGAATGCAGTGTA